CAGGAATGCATATTAGCAGTCTGAGTCAGCCGGTCCAGGAACAAATACTTCGGTAATTAATAAAATCTTTGGAGGCTTTATTTTCATTTTCGCAATTCTCGGAATCGTGACAAATTTTCAAATATCAGTCTCAAATTTTATGAAAGCGATCCCTGAAATCCTAACAGAATCGATTCCCCATAAGCGTCGCTGACTGTTTCCACAAATGCATAATATTATTAACCCTTTGCACTCGAGAGGTGACTCTCAGTCACCGTTTGTTTTAATACTATAACTTAAATAATGGATGATAATAATTATATTAAGAAGATCGAAATAAAATTATTCTATTAGTTCGTTTCTCATACAAATGTACGATTTTCTTGTTTTAATTTTAGCATAAAGAGTATCAGTGAGCTTATAAAAATCTAAGAAGAGCTACAAATTGCATCTTCGCAACGAAGAAAAATTCGAGTCCAAAGGGTTAAATATCCGTCCTAATTTTCGAGAAACAATTTCTACGATACGATCCAAATGGATTTCTGTTTTTCGTCTTTCCGTTTCTTTCATTTCTGAACTTGTAGTTCAGAAAACGTCGTCAAAAAAGGGAGACAGTGAAAGAAGTAAATTACCATCAATAAGAATGCGTTCTTCGTCATTTACAGGTCATATTTCGATCGAAACGGAAGCAGGTACTCGTTAGCCCGGATCCCAATCGGTGGAACTGACTTTTCCACGAGACTTTACACCTACGATGACGGAAATGCCGACCCGACGTTGCAGAACTTCAGGCTTGCTCAGGAAGATTACAAGTATAAAATACCATATGTGAAAAAGGCTGTCAAACTAAACCCCAATGTGAAAATATTCAGTGCCGTGTGGTCACCTCCAGCTTGGATGAAAACGAACGACCGTATCAATGGACCAGGTAATAAGTGTGGCAGCAAGAAAGAATCGAAGATTCGTTTAAAATAATTTCTTGTATATGCGTTATGATATTGCATTATCACGAAGCTAATTTCAATTGTTATCTAGGCTTCCTGAAGACTGAATATTATCAAGTTTATGCCGACTACATAGTGAAATTCATCCAAGAGTATGAAAAGAACGGTCTTATCGTCTGGGCAGTTTCAACAGGCAATGAACCAGCGAATGGTTTCGTACCTGGTCTGCCCATTAACTCTTTGGGTTGGTCACCGTTTGCCGGGCGGAAATGGATCGCTAATAATTTGGGTCCAACTTTAGAGAAATCCGTTTACAACGCAACACAAATCCTTCTTGTGGATGATCAGAGACTCTACGTACCTTGGGTAGCAAATATAGTCTTTGAAAATGAACAGGCGAAGAAATACGTCAGTGGCATAGCTGTACATTGGTACGCAGATTTTATTGTTCCTCCAGCTGTGTTGGACGCAACACACGATCTCCACCCAGAGAAATTTATTCTCATGACCGAAGCATGTATAGGTACGTTATTTAAGTATCATGTAGTAATAGCTGAACACAGTGCGATGATAGAGATATTTGAAAATACCATTACACGTGAATGGTAAACAAATTCTTTTCCTCGAGCTTCGATCAACGAAGACAATGAACTGGATAAGCAATGTTATTAAAAACTACATATTATATTTTTGGGGGAATAGGACTAGAATTATTCCAGCCGAGAGGTGTCGTTTTAGGATTATGGGAGAGAGGAGTGAAATATATTTCAAGTATAATACAGGTAAAGTGCCATATCAAGTATGATCAAAATTTATATGAAACATGAATTAGTATACGCATTATTATTTTTCCTCAGAGTATTATTTTTATTTACAAGAAATATTCTATTTTTAGTACATGAATCACTGGGGTGTCGGTTGGGTAGATTGGAACATTGTTCTGGACCAATCAGGTGGACCATCTTGGAATAAAAATTACGTCGATGCTGCTATCATTGTAAATGCAGAAAAGGATGAATTTTATAAACAACCGATGTATTATGCTATGAAGCACTTCAGTAGGTTCGTCGAGCGAGGCTCCGTTAGAGTTTCTATTTCCGAAGCTCTCAATATTGAAGCCACAGCCTTTGTCACACCCGCAAACGAAGTCGTTGTTGTTGCTTATAACAAGTAATAAAACCTTATTTCTAATTATTCACAGCTAATGGCGAAATGTCTTTTAGCCTTCGATATTATTATAATTAAGTTTCACGATTTATGCACAATTAACAGGCATTTTTATCAAGTTTATTTTACTTTGCAGGAACCCTCTGGCGACAGACGTTGTTCTAAAACTATGAAGCACTTCAGTAGGTTCGTCGAGCGAGGCTCCGTTAGAGTTTCTATTTCCGAAGCTCTCAATATTGAAGCCACAGCCTTTGTCACACCCGCAAACGAAGTCGTTGTTGTTGCTTATAACAAGTAATAAAACCTTATTTCTAATTATTCACAGCTAATGGCGAAATGTCTTTTAGCCTTCGATATTATTATAATTAAGTTTCACGATTTATGCACAATTAACAGGCATTTTTATCAAGTTTATTTTACTTTGCAGGAATCCTCTGGCGACAGACGTTGTTCTAAATGATCCGAACAAAGGCCCTATTTGCTTGAAATTACCTGCGCATTCCATGAATACTGTGATTTATGCGAAATAACGTTTAAAACTCGCGTAATAAATACCAAAACGTGTATTGGAAATGAAATATATCGCTCTAGATGAATTGTGCATGGAATATATATATTATTGATACAGATAAAACGTGTCAATAAAACTCTTTAACGCAAATTTTAGTCTGTATTATTCATTAGATGATTCTTGTAGTGTTAATTTCCCATTCCCTTCGAAAATAAAAAGTGGGCAATATGTACTGAAATAATATATAAATTAGAATGGTGTAGGATAAGTATTGCACCGTAAGTATTGCAAGGTAAGTATAATGTTAAAATTTATCTTTAAGCTCAGGAGATGCAAAATTGACAAACAGGATCATGGCAGTCCCTGCGAAAATTGCAACGAAAGAAATCTTGAAAATGTCAATTCTTAGAGATCTGTCGGCGAGCAACCTCCTATCATCACCTATCATGTTATGCTATCCAAATACAAAATTGTGAAATCGGCCGAAAATTGCATAGCCTGTCTGCAAAAGTATTGTCCACGAAATTCTTCGAAATGTAAAATGAAAATTGGAATTTAATGTCAGTTATAGTTCATGTAAATGTATAAACAATCAAATTTCTTATTAATAATAAATTGTTCACAGCGTAAATTTGTAACCAAAGTAAAAAAATTAATAAATTATTGGTTATTACTTGAACCTATAACGTAATAATGTTAAAATGTACCTATAATACGCAAAAGATTTATAAATTATTACACTTATTGTTAAAAATAAATTATTCACAACGTAAATTTATAATACAAGTTCAGAAATTAAAAAATTATAGGCTATTACTTGAAATAATTACGTATTTATGTAAAAATGTAGCTACAACGTGCAAAAGTTTATAAATTATCACACTGATTGTTAATAACAAATTAATATTGTTATTAACCAATTATTCGCAACGTATATTTATAGTAAGAATGAAAAAGTTAATAAATTATTGCCTATGAAAGCGGAAAATTAATAATTAATAAAATCGGTGAAGATTGAAAATTTCCGATCGAGGTGGGGGATTCGGCTGATCGACGGCTATATAAGGGGCGACGCGACATGGCAGAACTCATTTGTCGGTTCGACTTCTGAAGTGTAACATCTAAATCTTCGTTGTGCGCGAGGGGTGGGGATCGAAGTGAGGTTAGGGATGGCTACCCTACCCTTACCCCACCCCATTAAACAATTTACTAATAATTTTTATTTTGTTTTCAGTTATTAATTATTTCTTTATTTCAGCTTTTAATTATTTTTTCTTTTTTCAGCTTTTAATTATTTTTTCTTTTTTCAGCTTTTAATTATTTTTTTTCTTTCCAGATGTTATTTATTCCTTTCTATTTATTTTTATTTGACATTTCGAATATTTCGTATAATATTCAAATGTCTCATCGTTGGGTTCTTAATTTTTTAATTTTTTCAGATTTTAATTTTCTTCTTCTTTTCAGAGTTTAATTATTTTTCTCTTTTCAGATTTTATTTTTCCATTTCTATTTATTTTCTCTTGAGAATTCGAATATTTCATATAATATTCGAATGTTTCGTCGTTGGTTTTTTTTCTGTCTCATCGGTGAATTGTTCCTTCCACTTGGTTAACCTTTATGGTTTCTATTCGTTCGTTTTCTTTCCTCGCACTAATCCGTTTCCTTTCAGGTTTATATTAACCATAAAGTATTCTGTTTTAGCTTTTAGGTTTCTCAAGATTCACAGGTTTCCTCAAGAATTTATTTGAAACACATTAATGGACGACGCTGGATGCTTGCGTTTAGATCTAAGTAAATCTAAGTAGTCATAAGATAGATCCCTAGACTAAGTCTCGTGTGCGCGCTATCGGTACAAAGGTAAGCTACCTAACTTGGAGCGAATATTGTTTCTCTCTTATCCCTCTCGTTTGCCAAATAGAACATAATTGTTCTCGCGATAATCGCGATCGTTCTTAAGTACCGACTAGCCTGCGCGACATACTCTCGTGTACTTGACAATTCCATGCTTCGTAAGTCATCCAAACGTTCGTTCCGACACTCACCCTCGCCACTGCCACCCTTGTCACGCATCGGTTCTAGGGTGGTCGGCGGGCTGGCACTCACCTGGAATCAATACGAGGGTCTGTCGGCCTTAGTCGTCCTGGGCACCAGCGCGTGCACGACCGGGGTATGGGTCCTGTAGCCGTGACTCTGCATGTGGGCCTACGGTCAGACCCCATGGGATGATTATGAAAAATCATAGTTGGTACTAACGGAGCACAAGCTTCCAGCGTAAAGTCATAGATCGCACTTACCGCAGTTTCCCAAATTTTCATTCGGCATTAAAAAATTACCAAATTACACAATTTCTGCGATTAATTTATGAACTTTTGTACTTGCGTCGTAAAGGCACGTTCTTTACAAACTTTTTAATATAATTTTCTATATTAATTTCTTCCTATTTAATTAATTACATGTAATTATTCTTCGAATGTTCGAACTCAGACGAAGATATTATTGGTTTTTCATTAATTACTATCTTCTATGCAATTAATTTATATATTACATGCACACATTATATAAACAATATCCTTGGGAATATTCTCAAGTGGGCTTCATTCGTATTTTATATCTAGCTTTGTTCATAATTAATTATTTTTACCAAAATGTGCGCCGATCGTTGTTATCATGTCCCGTACGCCGCCAAGTAATTATTAATAATAAACTAAATACCATCAAATTATGCGCAAAAGTTGCATAAGAATGATGCCCAAAGATCCAGCTGTCTGGTCCAATTATAAAATTTCATAAATTAATTGCAGAAATCAAGTAATTTGTTAATTTTCCAATTGCTGAACCATCCATCCTTATCACAAGGACAATTCCTTTGCAGCATATATGGTCAATACTTTTACAGCCTATATGGACAATACCTTTGCCGCCTCGCTGGACAATACTTTTGCCGCCTCGCTGGACAATACTTTTGCCGCCCCAGTGGACAATACTTTTGCCGCCTCCGGGCAAAACTTTTGCCGCCCCAGTGGACAATACTTTTGCCGTCTCCGGACAAAACTTTTGCTGCCTCAGTGGACAATACTTTTGCCGTCTCCGGACAAAACTTTTCCCGCCTCAGTGGACAATACTTTTGCAGTCTCGCCGTAAAATTTTCGACCAATTTCGCGACTTTGTGCTAGGATAACATAACATGTTAGGAGGTCGCTCGCCGAGACAGTTCCAAGAAATTACGTCATTTCCAAGAATTCTCGGGCAACACTTCTGTAGCCCGGCCGTAAAATTTTCGGGCGATTTCGCGATTTTGTACTAGGATAACATAAGGTGATAGGAGGTTGCTCGCCGAGACAGTTCCAAGAAATGACGTCATTTCCAAGAATTCTCGGACAATACTGTTGCAGCTTAGCCGTAAAATTTTTCGTCGATTTCGCGACTTTGTACTAGGATAACATAAGATGATAGGAGGTCGCTCGCCGAGACAGTTCCAAGAAATTACGTCATTTCCAAGAATTCTCGGGCAACACTTCTGTAGCCCGGCCGTAAAATTTTTCGTCGATTTCGCGACTTTGTACTAGGATAACATAAGATGATAGGAGGTTGCTCGCCGAGACAGTTCCAAGAAATGACGTCATTTCCAAAAATTCTCGGACAATACTGTTGCAGCCTGGCCGTAAAATTTTTCCTCGATTTCGCGACTTTGTACTAGGATAACATAAGATGATAGGAGGTTGCTCGCCGAGACAGTTCCAAGAAATGACGTCATTTCCAAGAATTCTTGGACAATACTGTTGCAGCCTGGCCGTAAAATTTTTCGTCGATTTGGCGACTTTGTACGAGGATAACATAACATGATAGGAGGTTGCTCGCCGAGACAGTTCCAAGAAATGACGTCATTTCCAAGAATTCTTGGACAATACTGTTGCAGCCTGGCCGTAAAATTTTTCGTCGATTTCGCGACTTTGTACTAGGATAACATAACATGATAGGAGGTTACTCGCAAAGACAGTTCCAAGAAATGACGTCATTTCCAAGAAGTTCATGGACAATACTTTTGTAACCTGGCCGATGGCCTGGTATCCATAGTATATATAGCCCATTCATTGCAGGAGATTTAAATTATTTTTGTTGCTTTACTTACCTTACTTACCTGACCTTACTTACCTTAATTCCTCATAACTTGCATGTTACTAACGGAGATATTAATCACTATCTTAAACTTATTACTAACTAACTTTAATTAATGACTAAATTATAACTAATTTATAACTATTTTATATCTAGTTTGTGAATAATGATTACTTTACTTACCTTACTTACCTTAATTCCTCATAATTTACATGTTACTAGCGGAGATATTAATCACTATCTTAAACTTATTACTAACTTATTTCTAATTAAAAACTAATTTATAACTAATTTGTAACCAACTTATAACTATCTTATAGCTACTGTGACTAATGTTTCAACTTTGGTGCGTAGCCCTTAGCTTGATATCGTTTGCCAAAGACTTTTCTTTGGAAAACGATACCAATTACCAGGTCTCACCACGTGGAGGTGGCTACGCATCGAGACCCGACATGCGCCCTAGTGGCACAGCCTGCTGGTGCTATCCGTATCAAAGATAGCCTAGCCAAACTTGGAGCGAATTAAGTTAAAATGACTCTAACTGACACTTTATTATATTTCGTGTCTTACAAA